CTCTAGCAGACGCTCACACACCTCAGACTCCTAGTGCCAGTTGCAACAGTTGTTTCGTCAGTTTGGCGCCAAAAATAGCAACGAACGTAAACAAAATGCGACCTTGCGTTACAAAATGGCGCTCAAAGCTCAGCTCGCGCTCTCTCGCTCTCTCTTGTTAGTCAATCTCTTGCTCTTTGAGTCGTTTTCAGCTGGACAAATGTGGGTCACACGCTGCGCCTTGAGTGTGTCAGACTGCGGCTCAGTTGTGTTCGAGACGCGTGCGAGGCGCCACGTTTGTTGTTCTTGTGTCGCTTTGTTGCGCCCGCCGCCAGCGAAATTCGGCGCGCGTTTTCCTTTGCTGACAATTCCAACTGCTCGAATCAATAGCCAAGTGAAAGTGAAGGCAAAAAAAAAACAAAAAGCAAAAGTGTCACCAGCAATTGTGCTTCATTTGTGGGTCCTTTGTGCGGCTTTGTTACTTGGTCACCTTTTGCTGTAATTTAAGTGCCACAGCAGCAGCAGCAGCAGCAGTTGCTGTCAAACTGTAAGCTAAATTGCAATCCAACATTAAAAATTCAGCAGTCGTAAGTGGCGAGTCCGGCCCCTGGTTATCGCTTAAGCTGCTGTTTATCGTTGTGCATAGGTATAGGTGTACAGGTGTATAGGTGTACAGGTGTATAGGTGTATAGGTATACAACAAATGTGTATGAGTGTGTCTCCCTTTAAAAGTGAACATTGTCCGAGTTACGCATACGCCGTGTTGTCAGCCCACAAGTGCCGTGACATGTACAAAGCAAGCTATAGCCTGACAGCAAAAGCTGACACAATCAGACACACACACAGTCACAGTCAGACAGACAGACAGTCGCCACGACAGCGGTGACAGACATTTATGACGCGCGAAAGGATTTCACGAACTTTTTGTTATGCCTGCGTTGCCTCCCTTTTTGCACTTGACGCTTGGCATAATTAAAGTGTAACCACATTTGAAGGGCGCATCAAGTGAGGCCCAACAATGGGCGTGGCTCAGTGTTTTGTTAGCTGTAGTTATTGTTGCAGCTGGCCATGTATCCATTTTTGGGCTCATGACAAATGCGAACAGTTTTGCAGTCGTCAGCGAGAATAGAGCTCTAACTTTTGGACAGTATAAACTGAAGTTGACAAAGTCACTTAAAGCATATATATTAATAAAAACTTTTGAAACTTTATAGCATAATGAATTTTACGTGGATATAATGCTTTTACGGTATATAATATAATATAATAAAGTATACAAAAATGGTTGAAGGATCCCCCAAAAGTAGGCCATGCGTTCATACTTTCATCTCACTGATATCAATAAATTTAAAAAAATTATTTATTTATAGTAAATTTATAGCCTTATATCTTTAGTATAACATCTCCAACTTGCAGATTCAGCATGTTATACCATATATATATATTATTTGTTAGCATATAGTACAGTCTATTTTTTAATCATACAACTCCCTTGGCTAAAATATTTTATATTTATTTAAATTTATTATATTTATATAATATAGGAAAGACTTACCTTTGAAGACCTGTAAGTAGTATCTCGTAGTCGACCATTTTGCAACTGCCTCCTCTTAATTGTTTCCCCAACCATTTCCGTGCGTGGTTCTTTGCTCTTATTACATTATTTTTTGTGTATTGTTTTTGTACGAGCCACCTGTGCTTAGTTGGCCGCCTGCTTCCTCAACCCACTCCCAATCCGCTGTAGTTCCTTTCAAATTTATGGCTTTTTTATGGGGACTACCAAAAAAGAAAGGTTGTGTATAATTCATAAGCAAAATATTCCAGTTTTTGCTGTTGGCTTGGTTTTCTCTTCGCATTTAGCCTGTCGACTGATTGAGGCGATAATAATGTCTGTTAATAAAAACCCCTCGCACTGGACGCCTCTGTTCTCTGTCCATTTGAAGTTGCTAGCTAATTTAATAGCCCGCCTGTTGGGCAGCTCAGGTGTGTGTCTGGCTCAGGTTTCATTAGCGCTCAAACTTTTGCTTGCTTTACATATATCTCACATGCATCCCTGCGGCCACTTTATGAAAACATCATCAGCAGACGAGCACAAGCAGCGAGCCTCTCGAATATACAACTTTACTCTTCATACGTTTTTCTGGGAAAATATGAAATGCTTTTCATACGGCGCATATCCTTTAATGGGATTACGTTTGACCCCGCCGCTCAGGCGGCTGGGTAGGTAGAAAAGTTGTTTAAATATTGAATGTGATGTGTGCATATGTGTTTGAGTGCCTGTGTGTGAGTGTGTGTGTGTGTGTCAAACACTCGAAACGTGCTTCATAATGCAAATTGCATTACGTTCGCAAGAGGTTGACAACGCTTGTTTAAGTTGACTTTGTGGGTCAAGCTGAAGCAAACGAAGGTCAATGTTTTGGACAGCCTCCGGGCTGGTGACGCTATCATGCGGTCATTTGAAATAGAACACAACAGGTGGATACGACTATGATGAACACTAAATGCTCTTTCTCAAACTTGTCTAGCATAAGCCAACATTACAACTGGTGCTGCTATGCTGTATGCCCTGCGGAAACTACTTCAAGCTGCTCTATAGCCCACTTACAGCAACTCTAGATATTGAGCTGCTGATCTGTGCCTTGAGTAAACTTCAAGTACACTAAGTTGTCTTACTAATCTGATTCATTACTGGACTATTCTTGACATTACTCATACAAATACTGATATATATATACATATGTGAGTATATACAGGACCCACTCCACTTTCTATGCTAACCGAAGCTTGTATGAGTCATAAAATATTTATGTCCACAAATTACATTTTATAATTCCCAAGTGGTGCCTGGCTTAATTGAGTGTCGTGCGAGGCAAAGGACACTCCTTTGACAAGTTGTAAATGCAAGCACAGCCAGGAGGAAACGTTATTAGATATAATCAGCCTTTCAATGTATATAGTGCATGGGTAATTCAGTTAATTAACTCAATTTGTTGTCGTTTATAGTCGCGCAATCAGTCGAGCAACTGGCGAGCTTCGCACAACTGCCACGCCCTCATCTGACTTGCGTATGGCAATTGATTGAGAATTTGTCACATTTAATTTGCGATTCGATGCGATTTGCTTCACTGCGTGCCCATAAATCAAAGACGGGCATTACGTCATTCACCGGAGAGCAAACAAGCCAAACGATAGAGGAAATCAACAAAGCGAAGGATGTCTTTAAGGATTTGTTTACCCGACCTTCCACTCGAGCACAGCCATCAGGCTTGTGAGCGCAATTGATGTAGTTGCAAGTTCGTTGTGGCGTGAATCGCTTCGTTTACATTCTACATTCATTGGACAAACATCAAGTTTATTGTTCTATCACGGCTTCAATTTATAGTTCTACCCTCATTATTATGCATACGCCACGTGTGCCCAGCCGAACTGCCGATAACTAAATCAAGGTCGAACCAAGTAATTATTTATAAAGCAATGAAACTACGTCAAAAGGCGCGTGAATTGAATATTTAAGTGCCTCTGTAATTTTTATGATTAATAAAAATTTCTAGTTTAATACAAAAATAATAATAGAAGCGGAATAAGAAAGCCTGCCCTATAGATCTGTAAATATTAAAAACATCTGAATATTCTTTGATTAAGAGTCTAATCAAGGCATTTTCTGTGTTTTCTTTGAATAAGCCTTACATATTCCACTACACATCTGTATATAATAAAACTTTTAATACTGCAAGTTAACGTGTCTTAAGAACTTCTCACATGGAACCTAATTGGCAGACACTAATTTTCGAGCTGGAGGCATGCAAGGCATTTGCCATGTTGGCACAAGTCAAATTGCTGGCAAATTTCAAATTCCCGAGGAGCGGCGTTTGATGCAACATTTTCCAGGCATTGCCTGCAGCAGCAGCAGCAGCAGCAGCAGTAGAAACAGCAACAAAGCTGTGCGTCCTTCGACAACGAGCGCTGCCTTTTGCCTACCTTTCTGGCCAACTACAACAAAGTGAAGCGGCAAGTATGACAGTGCGTGTGTGTGGGTGGATGCGGATGTTGAGGGCCACATTAAAGTTGGCCCAGCTTTAATTTGTTTGCATTTGATTTGCGCTTTTTGCGGCACGCTGTTTACCTTTTAATCTGCTGGTGGCATTATAAATGCATATGCCACGATTATTGCTCATACGTCATGTGTTGCGAGCATATTTGTTATTTATGAAAAGCGTCCTCTCCGTTGCTTAATCCGGCAGCTTAGCTGTGGTATGCTCTGTTACGCACACGACATGGGCACTATTTAGCTCAGAAAACCTAGTTTAAATATGATATCAACTGCCAAAGGATTCAAAGTTATCCCTAGCACAAATTGCTACAATCAACAATTAACGGTTGACCTGGGTGCTGTCTGTATAATTAAATAATGATTACACTGCGCGACAAGTTCGCTATGCAATCAGCATAGCAAGCATATTTGCAATCAAGCATAATTACAGAAAAATTAAAAACACAGATTTATTTTGCTTAGAAAACATATTGTGATATAATATAATAAATGATATAAGAAAATGTACCAAAAAAATTACAAATTATAATTTATTATAATTATGACTCACTTACTCAACAGCTCAAAGAGAAAGTTTCTATTTACCGCCATTCGTTTATTATTTAAAGATAATCGAATCGAGATCAAAGCTGAGTTAGGTATGCAAACACTTTACAAGGCACTCCGAAAAATATTCTACATAAATTATATAAAATTATTTAATATAAATTTGTATATACATTTTTAATATGTCCTCTTTCATCAATTTACAACAATTCAAAATCTCATTTCTTGTGTTGGCCAGTGTTGCGCCCTGGCTGCCATGCAAGGGCTACCGCTTGGCGCCATGGAAACTACAGCATTGAGCACCTCACCAGCCCGGCTGCTGTGCGAAGCTTTCGCTCAAAACCAACGAAGAGCTTTCACTCAAAGCCCAAAATCTTCTAGTGGCTGCCGCTCAGAATTTCCGTTCAGTTTTCAAAACGTCGCCTCGACGCCAAGTCGCCAACGCGCGTCGCGTTATCTGCGAATATAGAAGAATTTAAAATAGCTCATTTGAAACAAAAAGAAAAAAGCAACATACAAAGCGTATAGAGTTCATAAAGTGTTGTTTGGGTGCGTAATATAATTTTGTAATTTGTTGTTGCTGTTCTTGTCGCTCTTCTTGCTAAACCCGCAATCAGAATCCGGATTTCAAAACAACAAATGTATTTTGTTTACTCTGTTATTGTTGCTCTTTGAGGAGCGCATGAAAAATTAGAACTTGATAAAAATATACAAATTGTATTCCATATTGGCAAATTTGTATATACTCTATGCCACATAGCAATTTTAGATACTCGCAGGCATATGTGCGTGTACGTGTGTGTGTGTGAATGTGTTTATCTGTGTGTGTATTCGAAATGAAATACAATTTAGTTCAAGCACATTTATAAAGCCATAAGATTTGCGCATATATTGTAGAAATACATAAATATTAAACCATTGCAATATTATGTATATATAATAAAACATACATATATATAACTATATATAATAACAGTATGCTAGCAGTATAATTGCTAAATAGAAAACCGCAAACTGTTGACTGTAAAGCCACATAATTCATCTGAATAGTTGGTGTACCACACACCCTGTTTTTTTTTTATGAAACTTATAATTACGATAGGGGACTCAAACTATATTTCAACTATATCAACTTATAGGCTTTCAGCCCCTATTCAAGACTTAAATAGAAATTTTATTCTACGTGATTTCTTCATAAAGATTAAACCATTATAAAAGAACATTTTTAATTTTTAGTTTGTTTGTAATATATATTTTTACTAATTTTTTAATATGTATTTTTTAATTATATTTTTTTATATATATATATATATTTTGCTATTTAAACATTTTTGATATTTTATTTGACAATTTCATAAATATTATCAATATATTTTTATAAAATGTATATGATCTATTTTTTAACGGATTTTGTTTAGCTTTTTATTTACATATTTATTTCAATTTTAAATTTATGTTTCCGCAAATAATATATAAAGTCGTTCCTGAAGCACTTTTCTTAATTATTTTTATGATCAAATTATTTTGAACACTTTTTATGTTAACCTACTAATTTTAATTTTTCCAGCACACATAAATTGCACAAACACAATTGGAAAAACAAAGCAGAAGAGCGCACAATAACAAACAATGAGGTGAAGCAACAAATAACTATTATTTTTTGACTTATTTGATTTTCTTTATTATTCACACACAGCTATGATAATTGTGCACATGGCCAAGCCTGTCGCGCCCATACAAAATAGAATAAATATGACAAATATAAAAACAATTTATATATATTTGTATATACTATATATATATAGTATATGTGTAAACTATAGCAACAACAATCTGACGACGACGTCATTCTATAAAAACGCGGAGCCAATTAGAGATAGATAGAGACAGAGAGAGAAAAGAGAGAGAGAGAGAGAGTGAAAGAATGAGAAGAAGCAGCAAAACAAATACGCGAAAAGTCGTTAAGCGGGTTCAAGTTCTTGGCAATGGAACAGCTTTTGAAGGCAGACGGCATTAAAGTTATGTCAGACTTGACTCTCGCTCTCCCTCTCTCTCTCTCTCTTTCGCTCTCGTTTGTTTGTTTTTATTGGCTGGCATGCAACAGGTGGCGAGCTACAGAAATACGTTGCCACATGCCCCACAGGCCCATGGCTAATTTCGCAGTACTTGTGCACAAATGCGGTAGAAGCCGAAATTTGACGAGCTTCGTGAGCAAAGCTCTGCCGACGCCTAGTTACCATATAAAATATTTAGCTTAGACTTGTTATTCTTACTAAGGCTCAACTCATTGTTAAATCGTTAAGGAAAAAGCTTTTTTTAATTTATCAGCAAGTTGAAATAATTGCAAAAGTTTCAGACGAAATGAATATTTTAGACAAGGCGCCTCACTCGACTCCACTAACTTAGCCCATTCAAAGGAACGCCTCTGGGCGTGGCAGCACAAATGGATAACAAAAACAAAAGAGGAAGACAAGCACAAGATGTAAATTTACCCAAGAGCTTAGAATCAGAGATGAGCTTAAAAGGCAGGAGTTTCCATTTCTGCTACGATTCCAGCTCATTGAGCATTTAGGAATCGTTACGGTCGAGCGGCATGCACCTACGAAATTGTGGCAAACGAAATTCTCTAAGGGCCCTTGACATGCAGACCGACAAAATTGAAATGTTGTGTTATCATTTATTAAGGCATCTCAATGCCAATAAAATGGAACATTTATTGTTTTGCTAAAGCAAGTGCTAAGTATGCGAAAAACTTGACAACGGCTTGTAGACTGAGTGACATCAGCTATCAAAGCATTGGTTAACTTTTGTATCTATTTCAATATTTATAATTAAATATATATTTTACTGTTTTGCTAAAAGGAAGTCACAGATTTTGCGTTTGTCAGGTAAAACTGTTAAAGGTAAAGAGACATGGAAAATGTTCTCAGCAGCAGTTCAACTCTTGCCAAAAATACTTTCTCCTAATGTAGGTTTTTTATTGATTCCGCTACAGACAGCATCTGTAAATCTATATGCCAACTGGCAACTGCCAACTGTCATTTGCCATTGCCGTAAGAAAGTGCTCCCATAAAAACTGTGTCAATTCGCTAGGCCCACGCTGCGTATGAGTAATGCATCGCAATATAATGAGAAAACAACAGCTAGACAAACACAATTTGTATACAGAAAATACAATTTTTAGCCGGCATCGCCACTTGCAAGTTTTACAGTCTCCATAAAACCGTGGCACGATGACATCATTTGCTTTGCTGTGCTTTGCTGTGCTGTGCTGTGCTATGCCGGCTATGCTAATGAATCAGCTGGTATCAAGCTAATATAACCGACAACATTCTAAGTGATATTGTTTTTTCCTTTGCTCTCACTGTTCTAGCGATACGAACGCAGCTGAGCCGACTGTGCCATTGGCCGATTTTGTTGTGCCGCCGAACTCGGAACTGGAAGAGCCAATTGTGCCGCTCGCCCAGCCGCCCAAGATGAGTGAAACGCCCGCTTTGCCCGCTGCCACGCCTACGGCAACAACAGCGGCAACAGCAACATCAACAGCAACAGCTCCGAATGCTGGCAATGACAACACAGCTGTAGCCAAGCCAAGCACCAGTAGTGAGGACAGCATCTTCTCCATAATATATTCGGTGGGCAAGAAGGTGGCCATTGTGGGCTCCATATATCTGGTTGGGTACATGGGCTGGTCCGTCGCCTGGCTTATAGCTCCCGTCATTTTGTCTGTGGCCCGGGATCAGCTGGCCAAGACATCGGAGAAGAAGCGTGACATAGCCAAGGCATCGGCTCTGGCCTCGGAAAAGGATGTGATTCTAGCCCGCATCGACGAGCTGCCCGCCTGGGTCTACTTTCCGGATGTGGAGCGCGCCGAGTGGTTGAATAAGGTAAGCTGTGGAACTGAAACCTATGTTAAGTGATTCCTAACTGCAGACTACCCCTCCTCCCATAGATTCTGAAGCAGGTTTGGCCCAATGCCAATCACTTTGCTCGCACCTTGGTCAAGGAGACAATTGAGCCAAATGTCGCTTTGGCTCTGTCGCAGTACAAGATGAATGGCTTCCGCTTCGATCGAATTATATTGGGCACGATTCCACCACGCATCGGCGGCGTCAAGATCTACGATAAGAACGTGGACCGCAACGAGATTATAATGGACCTGGATTTGTTCTATGCCAGCGATTGCGACATCAATTTCTATCTGGGCGGCATGAAGGGCGGCATCAAGGACTTCCAGATTCACGGCTGGGTGCGTGTTGTGATGAAGCCCCTGATACGCTCCATGCCGCTGGTAGGCGGTCTGCAGATCTTCTTCCTCAACAATCCGAATATTGACTTCAATCTGGTGGGAGTGATCGACTTTATGGATATGCCAGGACTCTCCGATCTGCTGCGTCGCATCATTGTGGAGCAAATTGGCAATGTGATGGTGCTGCCCAACAAGCTGCCAATATCCCTCAGTGACGAGGTCTCCGCTGTCTCCCTCAAAATGCCCGAGCCAGAGGTGGGTGGCCATACGTATTATCTATGTCTGCGATTGATTGCCTTCATGATTGATGGCGCATAATACTGAGAGTCGAAAGAACCAGGCATTGTGTGTGCAAAGTACTCTATGATGAAACTGAGTGATTGATTGACTGACTCTGACTGATTGAATGAACGCAGAGAATGCCGTGAAAGCTGATTGATAGAATGAATGATTGATGATATAAGAACAGACGAAGCGTGGCGACATGCATTACGATTGACGGACTGACTGATTGAAGATTAACCAACAGAACAAACATGGCGATATTTATACAATATTGTCGGACTGATTGACTGACAAATTGTGTGATGTGAATACAGGTTATCTATGTGCATTAAACTGTCTGATTGATTGATTGACTGATAGAGTGGCTGGCGATTAGCACACAGAGCACATTTCAGAGCTCTCAATTGAATAGCCCTCAATTCTCAAGCCATTTTATTTCAGGGTCTACTGCGCATACACGTCGTCGAGGCAAAGAATCTGATGAAGAAGGACATCAGCGTGCTGGGCAAGGGCAAATCGGATCCGTATGCCATTGTCAATGTGGGCGCACAGGAGTTTAGGACACAGATCATTGACAATAATGTGAATCCCAAATGGGATTATTGGTGTGAGGTACGTAAGCTGGCTGCTATGCAACTGCAGATACGCCGTTGCTTTTTGTAGTCCGTTATTGCCGTTGCCGTTGCCGATCGATTGCTGCATGCTGCAAAACTCACACGCAGAAACACTGTGAAACACATGAATTCTTTATGCCGTAGACTTTGTTTTTTTCTTTTTTTCTTTCCTTTTCCATTTTTCATTTTCAATTTCCATGCATATTTCTTGACATTATGTACTCGTATTTTGTTTGTGCGTCTCGGGCCTGCCACCAGGCGACAGTTTTTATTGAAATGGGGCAATTTGTTGATATCCAACTGAAGGACTCTGATGATTCGAAACAAGACGAGAAACTCGGCAGGTAAGCTATAAATTTAACTGGTAGAACAAAAACAAAAATCTCCTCTCTGGGCTTGGTTTACGACGCTGAGTTGACACTCACGTAACGCTACCCCATCCAAATTCCCATCCACTCAAATTCACCGTAAATCGTATGTGAGTAATACCCGTAATATCTATGTTGGTTACCGTGTTATACTAATGCATGCCTTGTTTTAACTCCGCATAGGATTAAATGTTTCGCTCAGCCACTGCGCTCTCTCTCTCTCTCCTCTCTCTCTCTCTCTCTGTCTCTCTCTTATCTTACACACACTTGTTTTTCTAGGCGGGTATTTTTACCAGCATCAATCACTTGGTTGGTTTTTCTTTGTGGGACTATGATCAAAGTATGCCCGGCGTGCAGGCTGATGATGTATTGGGCAGGTTGTATTGCGGCATGAAACTGCATTGTTGTGTTAACTCTCTTTATACCGTTCTTAGTTTCCCGTTATATAACATCTTGTTTTTGCCAGTTCTGCCTCTTAACAAACTCTGTTTTATCTAGCATTTACTAACGATTCTGACACTTGACTGGAGTTGACTGAGAACTGTCATAAAAATATATAAAGAAATGTTGCTTGTAAGGCGTTTTATCTTCAGGTTAAATATTTATTAAAATTTTGCATCAACTTGTGGAATTGGTAGAGCCTGTAGATGTTGTAAATCAATTTACACCTTTATAAAATAAAATCCTTTGATCGTCAGCTTTTAACAGTATCATTTTCTAGAGAACTGACTACCTGAAGACGTGACAAGTCCAAGTTAAAACGCGACTTAACTAGATACTGTAGCCCAAGCTCGAAGCTCTTTTATAAATGAATAGATTCTGTAGCCTTTTCCCCGGCTCTTTTATGAACATTAGAAACTGCTTTTCTTTTTATTTCGTAGAAAAAAATGAAAACATGCTCCCATTCATTAATATAGCGCCAAGACTTAGCTGCAGTTATCAAATTTGCAAATGCTTTCATGACACGTTCTCTTACCTAACCGACTGATATAACCTGAGCTGCTGAACACTCTAATAACTACTAAAAACTACTACAAATACTAACTATGCATGCGCAGTTATACACCCACTCACACACTCACACCCACAATCAGCTGGAGCACCCTGTACTGTACACTGCATGCTCTGTAGCGTAGTTGCTGTAGATTGATTGAGTCGAATTGTTACCACTGTACATACGTAGCATAAATTGTATTGAGCTGAGCAAGCCGCTTGAAACTAACAGTATTAATACAATATCTTCCATATTACCATATTGCGGATAAGGCTGTGGTTGAGGTCTCACAACGTGCCATACTCGTGCTTAGACTCTTTGATTGGGACCGCACAAGTGATGACGAGTCGCTCGGCAGGTTAGGCAATCGTTTTCATCACAACATCAATGAGTATCTGCAAGAAAATCGAAAAAAAAATAAAAATAAACGTATTCAATATAATACTTTGTCTACCAAATCCGAACAGCTCACACAATTCTCACAGTACACAAAACCCCTGAACAGTTACTCCAAAGCTCCACTCTCGACCTGAAACCCGCTTCAAACACTTAACAAGAATTTTACGTTATCGAATTTGATAATACACGAAAAAAACTTTTTGCTAAATACAATTTTTATATCCCTCACCTGCAGAGCCTCAATCGATATATCCAGCGTGATCAAGAAGGGAGTTCTCGATACTGTAAGTATAGAAAATGTTCGGAAATCCATTTCATTTCGAAGTTCATTAAAATACAAATTCAGCAAATTTGATCATTTTTATCATTTTACAATTATTTAACAAACTGACCTTTAATAGGCGAAAAATGAGATCTTAATATTCAGAGAATGTGAAAAGTTTTTAATAAAATGTTTTCCCCGCCGTCACAGTGGCTTGCTCTAGAGGATGCCAAGCATGGCGATCTGCATGTGCGGCTTCAGTGGTATAAATTGACCGCCGATCCGAATGCTCTGCAGCAAATCCTACTGGAAACTCAACTGTTGCGCGTGACGACCATGAGTTCGGCTGTGCTCAGCGTGTTTATTGACTCCGCCAGGCATCTGAAGGTAAACAATATATCTGTGAGTTAACTATCAAAGAAAAATCTTTAAATCCTTTGTCCTCTGCAGCAAGCACGTGCCAACTCCAAGCCCGATCCCTACTTGGTCTGCAGCGTGAACAAGCAAAAGAAACAGACTGCAATGATCCTGCGCGATGATTCGCCCGTCTGGGAACAGGGCTTCACCTTCCTGGTGACCAATCCGAATAACGAGAGCCTCAACCTCAAGATCTATGACCAGAAGACAGGCAACGATATTGGCCAATACACCTACTCGCTCAGCACTCTGCTAAAGCAGTTCAACATGGAGGTCATACAGCAGCCGTTCCAGCTGCAAAAGTCTGGACCCGAATCGAGGCTATATATGTCACTGTCTCTGCGCATTTTAAAGGCTGGCGAAATCGACAATGAGTCCGAAGCCTTGGAGCAGATCGCAGCCCTGCAACGCAGCACATCCGTTAAGACGCCCGATACACCAGCATTAGCTAGTCAAATATCCAAAGTAAGTTATAAATGACAACTATAGACATTCATCATGGAACTGTGACCTCATGGCTGGGAAACGAATATATATATACAGAATATTGTACGTTTTTACCTGTCTAATTCACTGTTGTTCATGCAGGACGACCAGGTCAAGATTAAGCGCCTCTCCGCAGAAACCCCGATCACTGAGGAGGAACCCGTCAAGAGCACAACAATAATCCCAGCATCCGCATCGCTGGAGAAACCAATTAGCGAGCTGGCCAGCTCGACGCTGACCCATCGCATGCCCGACACCATTTCTACGGCTGGGGATCATGGCTTGGGTCGCATACAGCTGACCATCACGTACTCGGCACAGCGGCAAAAGCTCGACGTGACCATACACAAGATCATGAATATACCGTTGCGTGATCCGAGCAGCATACCGGATCCGTATGTGAAGCTGTATTTGCTGCCCGGTCGCAGCAAGGAGTCCAAGCGCAAGACCAGCATCATCAAGGACAATTGCAATCCCGTCTACGATGCATCCTTTGAATACCTCATTTCGATTGCCGAGCTGCGGCACACAGAGCTCGAAGTGACCGTCTGCACACAGAAGGGTTTCCTATCCAGTGGCAGTCCCATCATTGGCATGGTGAGTGCACAGACAGAAAACCCACCCCTTACCCAGCTACCTAAGTAGGGTAAACTTAGCATGCATGCAATGCATCGCTTGTAATTCCCAACTACATATTTGGTTAGCGCTACATTTATATAGCAGAATTTTCGGGAGACATTTGTTCTTGCTTCGGCAGAACATATACTAAAATTGGAACGATACAGAGAAGATTAGCATGGCCCCTGCGCAAGGATGACACGCAAAATCGTGAAGCGTTCCACATTTTTTTGCTGCATCTGCATCAAAGTAACAAAAGTCAAACTATTACATAAGTTTTAGGAATCCAAAATCTACCATATATAACCTATTATATACAATCTCAATCCCAATTTCTTATTTCTTTTTTCTATCATCCTATTCCGTTGCAGCTTAAAATACCGTTGGATGACAGCGAAATAACAACACCCGCTGGCCTAAAGTCCTGGTTCGATTTGCAGCCAGAGCTGAAACATGAATAAATTAGCTGGAGTTGGAAAGGTATCCTCTCGACAGCACAATCAACTGAACATTTGACACTATTTTTTTGTATTTGTTGTGTATAAAAGAAAGAAGAATGTATTTATAACTCTCATAAGCAAAACTGTTTGGTCTTTCAACAGTAGAACCAAAACTCTCTTAGTCGTGCCTCTAAATCTCTATTTTCTATTGTAGTTTAAATAAGCGAACAATTTGTGTTTACAACTGTAATAAATGTGTATTTAAAAAGCTAATAAAAACCCATATTAAAACAAAAATAAGTATATTTATTAAAAAACATTTACGAAATTAAAATTCACTGTCTAGACTTGTTTTTCGAACTCACATTAATGCAATTGCTTCACTTAGCATGTACACAAACCAATTTCGAAATAGACAACAGATGGCGCTTTTAGACTTTGTAGCACTCAGCCATGCGTTTGTAATTCTCAACTGTCTTTTTCGCAAGGTATACATATAAATACCAATATTTTTGAACTACATTCGTTCTTGCTTCGGCAGAACATATACTAAAATTGGAACGATACAGAGAAGATTAGCATGGCCCCTGCGCAAGGATGACACGCAAAATCGTGAAGCGTTCCACATTTTTTTGCTGCACCTCCCTCCATAAATAGTATCTACACATTAGAGTTTGTTTTTTTGTGTTGCTGTCGCCATTTATTTTCATATTGAAATTTGGTATGTACTTTGAATATATAGACATATTTGTTATGTTGGTTGGACATGCTTAATGATTTTTAATTTTTTTTTTATATTCGTATTTTATATATTGTTTATAGTTTTCGCTGTTCCATCTTTTATTTTATTTTATACATAATAATTATGTTTTCCTTTGTTTTGCCTCAAGGCTCATACAATTTGAAATTTTCAACACAGTTTCATTAAAATTATTTGTTTTTGTATATATATTTACATATATATATTTATATATATATATATATATGTTCATAATCGTTTATCAATTTATTGGACACCACATATAAATATAAATTTGTTGTATTACATGGATAGCCTTGCAGGCAGTCTGTTGAACTGTATAGCTCGATAAGATAGTTTCTTGACTTGGAATCGTTACAGAGCTGCAAAATGTTCAGCGCTTCGTTTTCTAGCGAAGTTCTAAAATTCATTTCCTTCAGTTTGTCATACCTAATTAAATTGAAAATACATATTGTATGCTTTAAATGGACACATCTGAATATGGATCAGGATCTCTTTTTGTATATGTATATATATATATATATATATATATATAGATTTTAGTTACCACATTAATTTCTTGGTTAACTTACAATATATCTTCGAAGCTGAACGTAAGCCTAGGACATATATGCATATATGTTTGTTATGTATATCATTTTGCTCCTTAAGTATTTACTGAATATGAAACTTGTATTCAACTTTGAGGTAGTTAATCCTTTGTTTAGGTATTTCACGATTTACAATTTTGTTTGTTATTGATATCGACATATAAAAAAATTGGTAAATATGAAGCACATTTATTTAAAGCACACATTTACATTACACAAATATAATATTTATGCTTTTGCATGAATATGAATAAATATACATATATATATATATAAATATTCTCATTTTTTGCTGTTACAATATAATTACGAATTATATGTTTTTTATGTATGTATATAATATTTAGTATGTTCTTTACACATATTAAACACTGAGGAACTGTCGTGCTTACTTCAATGCCGTCTCGCACTTCATTTGCATATTATATATTTTGCAATTGGACAAAGACAATCCTAAACCTAAGCAACTCTGTATACACTACAATAAGTATGTACACACATATACATATATATATGCATATATAGCAGGTATTACATTCCAAAACACTTTTAGTTGCTTGTACTCTATATCTCTGAGTGTGAGTGTGTGTGTGTGTGTGTGTGTGTGTGTGTATGGATGTGGGTGGTTATAATAGATGTAAAGGTAATTTTGAATTCGTATTCATATCACTTATGGATTTGAAGCTCCTAAAACATGAATTTGAAAACCCTAAACAAAACTGATGGCCAATTGATAATTGTTTCGTAGTTTACAAGTATATATATAAACATATATATATAGTATGTAGTATGTCGTACATGGTATATATAAGTTCCAATTGATTTTCTTGTTTCCCATTATTTGTTAAGCCTAAACTAACTACTACAATTTGTTTGTCACGTGCTCAACTCTGTGGGTGATACGAGTGCCTAAGTTCTAAGTTTTTAACTTGAATCACTTTTATTATTATTTTTCTTTCTTGTTTTGTATTTGTATTCTCTTACGCCTCGAAAACGATGTCTGAAATAAAAAAGTAGTCAAATTGCAGACTAAACGCCTTTCGAATGTTTTGAAACTTATTTTTCTTCTAGCCTAATTGTTTTCTTCTTAGAGTTGTTTTTGATATCAACTGAACACAACTTGTTGCGCAACAAATAGCAGTTATATAAGGCTAGGCAGGCCCCAGCCCAAGGAAATAAAATTCCTAACTCAAAAAGATAAGCAAATACAAATATCACAAAATTAGCATCGAAGCAGAGCAAAACGTTCATTAAAAAATAAAACAAAGAAACAATCGAAAGAAATTGCAAACAAACGAAAAATTAATAAAACTCAAATTGTGTTTTAGTTTTTTTGTTTTGGTTTTTTTGGTGTTTTGTATTTAAAACTTAATTCGTATGCACTGCAAAGAGCGAGCCGCAACTAAATTTAAGAAATGAATGTAATTTAAGTTCTTGCAAATTGTTTGTTGTTTTTTCTTGTTTGTTTTGCCTAAAGTTAATAAATTATGCTTTATATTGAAGGTATATCATATGCGAAACGTAAATAAAATGTTTTAATTTATAAAAAAACTTAAAAGTATATTCGTGAAACCTGCAAAGCAAAAGGTTTCACCAGAACGAAATCGAAGCATACAAAGAAAATTAAAATTATATCACCACGCATACATATAAATATTTATACATATATATACACATACATATATAGATATATACATGTATATACATATATATAATAGAGCTATATAACTATACAGTATTGTTAACTAAAAGTATGTATACAAGACATGCAGTAAATTAAACAGCAATGATGCTCGTTGCATTCAATTAAACAATAATATTTCATTGTGCTTGTTCTTATTTCATTCTTTAACTTAGGCGCAAACAAAAACTTAAAAACTGACAACCTAGGACCGATAAAAATATGTATATGTGGGGGCGGGTGGGGCCAACAAACATAATGAACATAATTGTTATAGATTATATGTATATATATATCTGTTTGTATAAAAGTAAAAGCTCTTCATTTTAGCAAACGGATATATAGAAAAAAACTTAAGGCTAAACATTGAACCAATTTATACATCGTTTATATATAGCATCAAAACTTAAACAAATAAATCGCAGTTGCATAAATTTATATATATATAACACATATATATATATCTATATAGTTGTATGTTTAGATAGTTAAATATGTAGGTTATTTTGTTGTGTAGCCTAATTTAGTTTCGCAATTCAAATGTTTTAACAAAATCCAAAAACTTAAGTCGTAAGCAGGTAAAACTGGTAGCTAATTCCTAGACTCGTTTTCTTTGCATTTACCTCTTCAATTCTTGTGTTCGTTTCTTTTCTTCTTATTCTCCTTAAAAACTAAACGAATTTTCGTCGTGTGTTTTGTTTTATGGTTGCCTCTTTCTTTACATTTTGTTTCATATATTTTAATTTTAGTTTTACCCAGGGAATTCTATTTTCTTTCGTTTCAATTTTTTAGCGCTGGCCAAACAAGCTTAACTGTTGCATGCAACGCCAGGCTTCTTAATCACAGTTAAAACTATTTCTCACATTCTCACTTTTTCACTTTCTCGCTTTCTCGCTTCTCTCTACTCCTGTTCGCATTCACATTTTATCACGCAGTCAAGCAGAACATTTTTGAAAATTGTTTGTTTGATTAGTTTGGTATTGTTGTGTGGTTACGTCTGGGTTACATTGCCGGGCTATAGGATACGAATCTAATTGGCGAGAGCTATGGCTACATGCTAGTCAATGCTTAAGGCTAAACTTGATGGGCGGTTCGTTTAAGCTTTGGATATTTGGCCTATGATTTGCGCAGATCCTCGAGCCCGCCATTGGGCATGCCGCCTCGCATATTCTCCAAGACTTTATTCACAAAATCGGTCGAGCCGCCCGCAATACGTATGCCCGCTACAAGAAAAACAATACAATTAATATCTGATTTATATATAAATATGTATATAACCATATTTTGGTTTCCACTTACATGATGCCGTTGCATAAATGCGTTGTATTTGCTGATCCACCTCCTCGGTGGACTCGCCCTGACTCTTTGTGCGATGCTTCAGTGCCAGCGCCTGCTTCAGTTCTGCGATGCCATTGATCAGGCGCTCTGTAACCGGATTTAAGCATTAATATAGTTCAATTACATTCATATTGTATTGCTTCCACTCACTGTGCTCGATTTCCAGGCCATATAGTTTGATTTTGTTGGCCTCGTGCTGGGCTTTCTTCTTCAGCCGGCAGGCACGGGATGCCAACTTGTTCTTCTCCTTGCGCGACTTCGGACGCACATTGAAGGGCAGCTCTGATACGGGCGTCATATCGTTGATGGTACGACTCAGCTTGTCCAGCTCCTTGCCGATGTTGTGCAGCTTGCGCGCATTCGGCGTCAGATCGTTGCCATCGCCCTTGCGTGCCTTGCCGCTGTGCTGTTAAGATAGATACGAATTTGATTAGAATTAGCTGAGAGAATTGGCCAAGATAAGGTTCTATATTTGATTGAAGACCTACCTTATACACCTTTATGCCGCGCACCGAGCAAGTGGGACTGAACACGGGATCCGTGACCTCGTTGAGGAAATGTGGATCCTCTAGCTTGGACTGGAAGACCAGCCGTTTGCCCTTCGGTCCCTTGGCCTGCACATTGTACTGCCAAAAGAAACGTTCCTTGCCCTTGCTGCTGCCCAACTGATTCGGTGTCGATGTGCGTGTTTCATCCTCATCCCCAGAGCCTGAGACAGCAAATGACAAATTGAATTTAAATGCGCTTCAATGATATATTGATCTACTCACCATTATCGCTGCTAAAGTCGTCGTAGTTGTCGCTATTGTCACTGGAGGCATCGTCCTCGTCATCCTGCGAGAAATCGATGCCATCGGGCGATAAAACGCTGCCGGTGCTCAGTGAGGAGAAGCTCTCGGCCTCGGCCAGCGAGCCGGTAGAGAGTAAATGCTGTCGCGGCTCACGCCGCATCCAAATGTGCTCCAAGCCCAAATGCGTCGGCGCCGACGATGATAGGCGCGATAGCTGGGAGCTCTCCACGGAGGAGCCGCCGCCGCCACCGCCACCGCCACCGCCACCGCCACCGCCGTTGCCTCCAGTTGGATAGCCAAAGGATTTGCGAATGTTGCCAGCCGTGGCGGCAGTTGCCGTGATGACCACCTGACCGGGGCTCTGATTGGAGCTGGAGCTAGCATTTCCAGCAGCAGTTGTTGTGCTGTTGCCGCTGGCAGCGCTGCCAAAGCCACTGCTGCTGCCTCCCGGGCTGAGTGCAGCCGTCTGGCTGAGCAGCGAATGGCGGTCGGGCGACGAGGACATGGCCATGCCCTTCTTCGCAAGCTCCTGCATGTTGCGCGACTTAACCAGCTGGTATTGTGAGCGGCTGGCATGCGGCGGCGGAGGTGGCGTCAACGGCGATTGCGATGCTTGGCTGCCCGGCGAGAAGCTCGAGCCCAATTGAGATGGTGGCTTCTGTGGTGTGCTATGGAAGAGCTCAAAGTTATCCGCTTGTTGTTGCGTCTGCGAGAGCAAAGCTTCCAGCTGCGTTTGCTGTTGCTGCTGATGCTGCTGCTGCTGTTGTTGCTGCAGCAGCTCCAGCGGTAAACCATCTTGCGTTTGCGATTGCGGCGATAGCAAAAAGTTCTGTGCCGGCAGCAAATCCTCAATGGTGCTCATCACATCCAGGAAGTCGCCGCCATTCAATTCAGCCAGCTCAGCGGCCTGCATCTCGGCCTTGTCGTTGGGAAAGATATAGTCATCGTCCAGATTAAACGGCTCGTGTTTGGTATGAACGATTGCGCTGCTAATGTCGCTCCACATGGCATTCGAGTTGGGTGTCATCTCGTAGAGCAGCGCATTGCCATGGACCACATCCTGCAGCAGCGACTGCTCCGATGTCAAGTTCAAGCTGAGACACGAGCTCAGATCGGGCGTAAAATAGTTGCTGCTGCCGACGCCGGCGCCGGCAGCGCTGCTGTTGCCACCAGCATTGTGGCCGCCTGAATCGTTGGCACTGCTGCTGTACAAAGTGGTGCTCAATGGCGAGGTGGCGCCCAGGCTAACGTCCTGCAGTAGAGTTGGTGACAGCGAAGCTGCATCCAATGCATCCAAACCAAAATCGGAGAGTTCACCTAGCTGCAGCGGCTGCTGTTGCTGCTGCTGCTGTTGTTGCTGCTGCTGCTGTTGCTGCTGCTGCTGCTGCTGCTGTTGCAATTGTTGCTGCTGCTGCGCCATGCTGGGCAAACTGTGCAAATGATGTTGCTGCTGGCGTGGAGTAGGCGTCAACGTCGGCGTTCCGCTTAGCTGCTGATACGGATGATGATGGTGGCTATGATGATGGCTCTGATTGGGATTGTTGCTGCGCGGTATGCTGATTGCTGTTGTGCTCAGCATTACATTCGATGTGTAGCTGTTGCCGCTGCTGCTCGAAATGGCACTCGAGTTGTTGTTGCTGTTGCTGCTGCTATTGTTGTTGCTGCTGTTGTAGCTGCCGGTCTGTATGCTCAGCGTGGGCGCGGCCAGCGCATATAATTCGTATTTCAACGGATTGCTGCTACTGTTCGAGCCGCTGTCAAAGAATTCCGATGACATGGGATATACCTGATTCTCAGTCATGGCGTCGCTAGTGTAGAGATCAATGCAGTGGGCGAAGCTGGGAAGAACAAGGCGTGGCTGCTCCCACAGAATATACTTTCAAATTATGCCAACAACAATTGTTGTCGTTGTGCGCCTGGCGCCCAGGCGCTGCGCTGCGACTGCGACTGCGCAGTTGCTTTAGAGTTGCTGCAAAAGATATAGAAAAGTTGAGCTGTTAGTTAAAGCCAATTGAATCTCCGATTAAATAAGCATAAATAGTTGTTTATGGCACACAGAATGGCTTAAAGCCAAGACTCAAGGCCTGCCAGTTGCTATGGAAAACATTTAATGTTACAATATCTCGGCTTCATCTGAACTATCTTCTAAGAACTGATATTCGTAACTCTAGAGCGCACTATTTGTTCAACATTTCAACAATATGTAACAATAAATAACATTTTAAGCAGTTATCGATCTTTTTCGATTAACCAAAATATCAATTATTAATTTTAAGAAACTTTCCCATCAAGAAATTCAATGTATTGAAGCATATATTTAAAAAAGAAATACCTATATCAAACTTGGACAAATGAGATTCTATTTCGATTGATAAATATCGATTAAAATATACATGTCTATAAATAAATATAAATATAGCGCACAAACGACGGTTTATTATCCATCCAAATAGATCTAAAACATTTTGTGGACTGATCAATACTGTTAAACTCGCGATAGATCTTGAAAGATAATTTTGATATTATAAGATGAATAATAATCTACTTATAGAATAGCAGATCATAACAACTCTATTATATAGCTTCGATTCGATTCATTTTATTAAACTTAATTGAACTTTATGCTAATTCCTTTTGCAAAGCCAGATGCCAGTGCAGCTTTTATCTAAGCCTGAGCCGGAACTAGACTGTAGAATAATATATACATATATATATTTATATTTATGTATATGTGTGTATACATGAATATATATGCAACTCTTTGTAATATCGTGTTATATGATTGATGGGCACGTTAACGATGCCAGACACCTGGCAAATATATATAGAGAGAGGATAAAGAGAGAAAGAGAGACAGTAAACGGAGGATCTTAAACAAGGAATGAGAACGGAAACAATTTATTTTATTTCCAAATATCGACATTTAAAGATCTATGCTTAGGTAAAAAATAGATATCAAAATACCAATTGTCGATCTTGAAAATGTTTTGCTAGCTTAAATAGTTTTAACTCATTCTAGACTTTTACGATTCTAGTTGCTCTTGTCTTCTTATCTTTCTTTGCTTTACGTATAGGTCCACTCTTCCTCCCCATTGTTTTTCCAAAAATCATTCGCACTTTTGTTTGGCACAACATCAAAACTAAAGAGTTGCAGTCGGCGTGACTGAAAGATACCCTTAGATGATCACTATCGTAAATCATTATCATAATTTTTATGATTATTTTAAATGATCGTTATATGCCAATAATCTGGATCAGCATCGCCTCTATCGCTATTGTCACAATTATAATCATTATTATGAATCTCATTATTATTATGCTATTATTATTGTTATTATTATTATTATTATTATTATTATACTATTATTGTTATTATTACTATTACTATTATTATTTTTACTCTATTATTATTTAAAATAAGATTGTAACTTTCGGAGTTTGTATATAGACCAACTCAGTTAGCTTTTTCCCTGAAAGCCTATATACCCCATATGCAATAGGTGCTGGGTATCCAAATCGATACATAATTTTAAGAAAAACAACAAGACGAACGAGCGTAATACGAAATCAAGTCGAAAGAAACTTAGTAACAAAAATAGGGAACAAAATAAAAATTAAAAAAAAAGAACTATGCCAAAATGGTTTTTGTAGCTTTTTCGATGGATTTGTTGTTGTTGTTAATTTCGTGGTTCGACGGTTTTTGCCTTTCGCCGGGCAGGTGACTCCACAGTTTGTTATTGTTCCTTCTACTTGTTGTTTTTGTTGTAGATTATAAATATTAATTAGTTTGTTTACAAAGAAAACGAAACTTCTGGTTGATTTAAATGGCCATAAATTATGAATGGGAAATTGCATCTAGTATTGGGATTATAAATTTCATCGCTGCGCATTTCTCACAACAACGAAAAGGGTTTCCAAGAACCCTTGACTACCGTATATGCATATATAGGTTATAAATGATAATTATGATAGCTAATATGGGTAACCTTGAGTTTAAATCAAATATCAAAAAGGTTCAGTAATATTAATCATTTTACAGGTAAAAATATACATATATACATACATACTTATATATGTGTGCATTAAGATTACTATTGCTGTAAACAATCATATGAAAGCACACATATATAATCAGCTGATATAGCAAATTACTAATCGTTGAGCGATAGTGTTATCTTTTCGCTAAGTTTACATTGCAAAATTATATCTCAAATTTTTGACTTATTACATGATATCAATACTTCCACAATTTAATCAAAAAATCTATCGATTATGTAATCGATAACTTATTCAATTAAAATAAATTTCAGCTCTATAGTTATTTTCATTCATATGAACAAGCTGACTGCAGCTTAATTTACATTTATATTTATATACATATATCATCTTTATCATATATAGTCGAAATGATATCTACCTCTCTTTTCAATTGAGTGATATCACTGATGCCTTTTGGATCAATAACTCATTTAAAGTTAGCACAACAATTGAATAATTTATTTAGTATTTTGACTAATTAACAGCCAACTATTTGACATATCAGGCATATATATATATACATATATACATTTGTAAGTATGTAAAGAATTCTATAGTCTAAAATACTATGTATAAGAGACCTTGGAATTAATATCACCCGATCGTCGATGCTTATCTGCAGCATATAGTCTGTCGGTTTTGGGCGATAAGTCGACAGTTAAACAGCTGATAGCTGGAATCAATTACAACAGCCCAAACACTAGAGTGGACCGAACATTGCCACCCTATTCGTCAAGGTCATGAGAGAACAAACCAAGCAGCGCACACTCACACACACATACACATAAGCAGACAACGTGTAGCGTCTAAGGCGACACTTAAATGGCAAATAAAACAATTCTACTTTAGCTAAGTGATGCTTGTTTCTCTGGTTTCTTTACATATTATTCCTATTGCTCGAACCCGCCTCTTCAACAATCTTCCTCCCTCCCTCCATCCCCCCTCTTTCGTGTTGTTGCCTTTTAAATTGTTTAATATTCGTCAAAGGTTGCCGAACGCGTCGAAGGCCAAACAATTTTTTTTAATTTCGAATCAAAAGCGCCCTCTATGAGCAAATGTGGTTAGTCAAGAACATACATATGTACATGATGAATACATATATACATTCATACATATGTACTTAAGTATAAATAGGAAACATACGGCAGACGCTTATATACAAAAGCTACGAATGGGAATAGAGAAAACGCAAATAGAATTTATTACAAATTTGCTGCCGAACAACATAACAAAAAATATAAATAAACAAAAAAATAAAACAAATAATACTTATAAATTTAAGTGGAATTGTACAGAAGACAAGCCGAACAACTAGCAAACCTTTGGTGATGGCCCAAGGAGAAAGAACGGAAGAGAGCACAAAAAAAGCTTTAAAACGAAGAGCATGTCTATATAATTATCACGAAGAATATTATAACAAAAGTAACAACGCGCTCATAGAAAAAAGTAATAAACTCAAAATGTTTGCAAAGCTCGACGCGAGGAGGCAGATGAAAACGACAAAAAAAATCTAATGCAGAACATATGATTAAAAAAGGCAGACACGAGCTAGATAGAAGTAGCTTTGATGCCTAAATATAATAAATAAATAGATATGTATGTGTATACAATTGTATGTATGTAAACAAAGCAAAACGGAACGGAACAAAAGACGCGTGGGATGCACGTGAAACGTGCACTGGTTCGCTCTTGGCTGGGAGCAAGGGTTTAAAGTACAAAACTGGCTACAAGGCGTGACCAAAGCAAATAAAGCACAGCAACAATAGCAGCTGCTTATGACGTCATATAAAACAACCAAAACAGAATTATACATTTTAAAATTAAAATTTATAAAAATTTCAGTTTAAATTATAAACACAGCAGACAGACAATTTCATCACTGCGTGAAATAATGTGCAACAATTATAAAAAAGCAGCACGGAGAAAATAGTTAGGGCACCCACGGTATCAACAAATTAACGAGAGCAAAAGAAAGGGCAGAGAGTGGCAGGCGAAACAAAGAGCAAACGAGCCAACACGCTGTGAGAGCACAGTTATTAACCAAACCCAAGGTCAAAACTGTTTATTTTTTATATTTTGTTTTGAATTTATAATTTATCGCTGTGTTGCCTTTGTTTTACACGCTTACATACACACAATCACACATACAGACAACAAAGAGTTGTAAACAAACTAGGCGCTTGTAAAAAGCTTTAGAGAGCGTGGGCCATTTGTGCGAGCCTTCGCTCTCCTTCTCTTTCTTTCTGGCTTGTGTACTCAAAGTTTGTACTGGGAGCAACATATGTTTTCCGACTGTTTGCTTTTGTCGCCATTTTCGTATAAATGTATAAAGTGTGCGTGGCGACTGTGTGTGTATTGTACATGTATGTAGTAAATAATCTAAAGCTTTTTGTCGCTTTGCCTGGCGGTGGACGGGTTTTTTGTGTAAATAAAATATAATTTACAACAACAAAATGCCAGCGCTTAGGAAGCTTTTTACATTTCGCCAGAAAATATAATAGATGCTTGTACACACTCACACATTTATATACATACAAACAAAGTGGTATGTATGCATTTAATGTGAGTGCTGATAATGCATAAAATGAAGATATAAATAAAATATAAGTAGTATAGGTATTCAAGCATCGAATCGCTTTATAGACAAACCAACTGATGTTGTTTTGCGGGGCACAAAAACAAAACAAGAATTAAATCAGAACTCTGGCACGTTGCATAAACGCCGCGACACACATGCTTAACATTATCAGTTACGTTTGTGTTAAAGCGCGCGCATGCTGTCTGACAAAGAAAAAACAATTCACTCGAATGAAAACACTGGCGAATCTATTGGTGCACTCTCGCTCTCTTTTATTGAGGCGCAAACTTGCATTTGTGTCGATTTCGATCGTTGAACGCGCTCGTAACTTCCGTTTTGCATTATCAATGGGT